CGACGTGCGGGGCGCGCGGGGCCTCTCGCCGCGGGGCCGTCGGGGCCTCCTCCAGGCGCCGGGCGCGGGCAAGGCGCGCCAAGTTTCCGCTGCCTGCCCACGAGCTCGAAAAACATGAAGGTTTGGGCGGGCTGGTGTGGGATGAATCACCCCGTCGCGCCCTGGTGCGGTGACAGAACGGGCCTGGGGGGCCTGCCTGGCCAGGAGGGGCGGCGGCCGCTGCGCCCCTTCGCCGGGGTGCCCAGGGCTCGGTGCCCGGGCCCGCAGCCACCGGGGCGACGCCTCTCACTAGCCCGCCGAGGTGTGTGTGTCGTTGCTTAAAAATAACCAGCCCTGCCGTCCTCCCTCTGGCAGCGAGTCGTCCTCCACCCCTGGCAATGGGACCACGCCCGAGGAGTGCCCGGCGCTGGCCGACAGCCCCACCACCCTCACTGAGGCCCTGCAGATGATCCACCCCATCCCTGCCGACTCCTGGAGAAACCTCATCGAACAAATAGGTGGGTGAACCTGGTAGGCATCGGCTTCCTTTCGTGGGTGCCAGGGGAACACCAGAGCAGGCCCCTCGCACATGCGATGCTGTTTTGACATCTGTGGTTCTAAATGGCTCCCTGAGAAAAACTGCCACGTCTTATTAGTGCTGCACCCCCAGGCTAACTTAGCAAGTGGGTGTCTGTCCTGCCCTCTGCAGAGATGGAGACGTCCACTCGCCCTCTGTCCCGTCACTTCTGCCAGGAAGATGGGGGTGCACCGGCATTGCTGAACCAGGCAGGGGGCCTCTCCTTGAGCTCCCGGAGAGGGACTGGGAAGACCTGGGGAGCTGAGGAGGGAGGTGCGCTCGCAGGTTCCTGGCAGATCCCCGGGATGGTAGCCGGCTGTGCAGGGGCTGGAGAGGTTGAGGCGAGGACTTCCGAGCCAGGAAGGAGACCTGTGCAGGGCTGTGCTTCCCCAGGGAGCCTCATGTTCCGAGCTGCAGGGAAGCACTCTGAATACGCAGAGGGGGTTCACACGTGTCCTGGTAACTCCAGCACTTGCATTTAAAAAAAAAAAAAAAAAAGATGCTGGTGACTTCAGATGAGTTCTCCTGTCATGAACGGTGAGGGGTGGCATGGTTTCTGCTAGTCTGGAAACGGTGCTGGCTGTCTAGAGTGTATTCTTCGCTGTCATTAGAGCAGCTGGCTCTGTGTTCACTTAAATAACAATTCTCGATTTGGAAGATTTCTTCCCTAAATATACGATTGTCCTCCAGTACCAAACCTCAAACGGACAGAGTGTCTCCAGGATGGAAGCTGGAAACGAGAGGCTTTTCAGGGCTCCCCTTGTCCGCAGCGGCCCACAGCCCGCCGGGAGGGGCAGGAGCCTGGGAAGCTGGGGGTGGAGCCGCTGCGGTGGGTTCAGCCGCAGGAGGCTCCTTCCCTGAATTGTGTTCCTGGCGGCCCCCAGCGTGGTGGCTGCAGGACACAGTGGCTTTTTGCAGTGTTTGGGGAGAAAGGGTCGATCTGAAACTGATGCCAGGTAGGAAAGACCAGTTCTGAAAGAAAACTCCGCGAACCCCGCCCCGGGCTACCTGGCACGGAGTCTGGGATGGAGACTTTGACGTCCGCCTCCTGCCGCCGGTGGACCAGCCCGGTCTGATCAGGGGCTGCGGCCACCTCTCCTCCCCAGGGAGCCACTGTGCAGGTGTGGAGCTGGGGTGAGGCTGTATCTTGGGCCTCAGTTTCCTCCTCTGGCAGGAGTAGAGACTGCTGTTTGGTGTCTTATCCCCCGACGTCCTCTGCAGTGCCTGCCAGGGTACCTTGCACCCCTGGGGGTGCTCAGATGTGGGGTGACAGCGTGGGGCTGTCCCCAGCCATCTCACAGCTGTGCCGAGGACTTCATGCGGTGCTCGGCCAGGGTACCTTGCACCCCTGGGGGTGCTCAGATGTGGGGTGACAGCGTGGGGCTGTCCCCAGCCATCTCACAGCTGTGCCGAGGACTTCATGCGGTGCTCGGCCAGGGTACCTTGCACCCCTGGGGGTGCTCAGATGTGGGGTGACAGCGTGGGGCTGTCCCCAGCCATCTCACAGCTGTGCCGAGGACTTCATGCGGTGCTCGGGGACCCTACAGCAGCCTCCTGCTTCGACTGTGAGGGATGCAGTTCCCTGCCAGGCAGCGGGAAGGGCCAGAGGTTCCCAAGGACGCAGGAATGAAGGGGTGGAAGTGGAATGCATTGGGGCCGTTGTGTGGCCCCCTGGGCCGGATTTTGCAGCAGCTGCTGGCAAAGCTGGGCAAAAACGTGCTGGGACCATGTGCGACACGGTGTGTGGCTATCGTCATGTTTGCTGTGGCCCTGGCGGGTCACAGGACGGAGAGCCTGCGAGTGGTTTTGTGGGTGTGCATATGAGTGTACAAAATACACGTACAGTGAATGCTTGAATTTAAAATTTATTACAGGCTGGGGATATAGCTCAGCTGCATAAGTGCCTGCCTGGCAAGCGCAAGGTGCTGAGTTCGATTCGTGGTACCCCCCCCAAAAAAACCCCAAGATTTATTACAGTAAAAGACACATTGCCATGAATCCCCTCAAAAGTCTCCCCCTCACTTTAAACACTCATCCCATTGTCCCTGCCACTTTCTTTGTTTTGTTTTGTTTTTGTTTTTTTCCAGTACCGGGAATCGAACTCACGACCTTGTGCTTGCCAGGCAGGCACTGTGCCGCTGAGCTAAATCCCCAGCCCCCCTGCCACTTTTTTTGTCTTGTTTTGTTGTTTGTTTTGAGACAGGTTCTCGCTATGTGTGTCAGGCTGGTCTTGCACTCACTTATGTAGCCCAGGCTGCCCTCGAACTTGTAGGGATCCTTTTGCCTCAGCCTCCCATGTGCTGGGGTTACATTCTTGCCAGTTTCTGAAGAAGCTCTGGAAGTACTCTTTCCTACCTTTATGTGGTGAGATCAAAAATACAGTGACTGCTGCTGTCCAGTGTCACTGAACAGAAAGGCTGCCTCATAAAAACGTGACTGTGTGCCCTCGTCCACCTTCCTCACTGGATCTGGCACTGTGTGACTTCTAGCTCTTCCCCAAAGTCAAAATGATTATGGAAAGGAAACACTGAGGCAACTGTGACAGTGCAGCTAACAACACATACGAAAAAGGACTTCAGAGCTGCTTCAGAAAGCAGCAAGAATGAGGGGATGAGTGCGTTCAAAATGAGGGGGATTTTTTTTTTTCCCCGGTACCGGGAATCGAACTCACAACCTTGCGCTTGCCAGGCAGACGCTGTGCTGCTGAGCTAAATCCCCAGCCCCAGTGAGGGGGCATTTTGAGCATTCATGGCAATGTGTATTCTACTACAAAACTTTAAAAAGGAAAATAGAAGTCTGCCTGCACTGTATCTTTTGATCACATCCCGTGCGTGTGTGTGTGTACATGTGTGCCTGTGCTGTGTGGGATGCATGTGTGCTGCTGTTCCGTCCAGCGCCTTAACATGATGCTTGGCATAGACATGTTGCTCACTAAATTTAAATACAAATATAAATCACTAAATACAAGTACTAAAGGAGTCCTGCCCTTTATAAGTTTCTGTTTGAAAAACCAGGAAGAGGGATTTAGAAGGAGTTCGGTGTTGGGGTGAGGGACAGGGGTCAGTGCTCCAAAGGAACACAGCCAGCCAGGAGTAGGTCACCTGGAGTAGGTCATTTTCCAGAGGCAAAGAGGTAGCAGCGTCTTCAGCTCTGTGACTATGAGATACCGAGGGCCAGAGGGACAGGAAACTCACCTTCCACATAAAGTTGTACCCACTTGAATGTAGACATATAAACTAGGAGAACATGGTATATCAGCTGCACAGTGTACAGAGATTTCATCAGAGACGGTGTGTTTCTTCCAGTAAATCTACTCTTTTTGTATGGTAATCAGAATTTAAGCCAAATAAAAATGAAAGGCTAGAGGTGCTGGGGATTTAGCTCAGCGGCAAAAGCGCCTGCCTGGCA